TAATCCTTTTTGTTTTTAACAGGAAGAAAGAGCTCTTGCAGGGGATTTACATCATGGGCTTCAACAGACCATCCAAAATCCAGGAGACGGCTCTGCCCATCATGCTGGCGTATCCGTGAGTAGTTAACGCTGCACGGGTGAGCCCCGGCTCCCTTCGAGGCATCCCCGGCGTCGGGACGTCGATCCGGGGACGCCCAAACCCTTGCACACCGCTAAGCAGCCTTTGCCTTGCAGGCCCCAAAATCTGATTGCCCAGAGCCAGTCAGGGACAGGGAAAACGGCAGCTTTTGTCTTGGCGATGTTGAGCAGAGTTAATGCCGCTGAGAAATACCCGCAGGTAACGTAGGAAAGGGAAAGCTGACGCAGGAGGGGTTTGCCCAAGCGCTCGAGACGCAGAGCTCTGGTTTTTGTCCCCATCTCTGATTTTATCCGCTGGAGAGGGGGGACGATAAACCCCCCGGGTACCGTCGCAGCAGCAGGTAGGACAGAAAGTGTGGTGCACGCTAAAGGGAGACGCTTTTACTCGCTAGCAGCAGATTAAGCCAGGCTTTAGATAGCCTGGAATTTAAATTTTGAAAAGCCACTGCGGAGACTGCTGGTTTTCTGGTGGCTTAAACGCCCCTGCGAGCCCCAGTCACTGCTCTACGTGCCGAGTCAGCTCTGCCAGCTGGTTACGGCGATTTAAAGCCTCTCATCCCAAGCGTATGGGCTGACTCGACCAGTTGCTTTAAAGCTGGGCGCAGAAACAAACCGCCCCGTGCTTCAGGAGACAAATTTCCCCCTCAAAAATAGTGACAGCGACTTCTTTCTGCATGCATCCCTCGAGCTGTGCTGCGTTCCCTGCTCCCTGACCTCTGAACACGACCGACTACGTGATCCCGCTGCGCTCTTGAGGGAGTTTAGCCGTGCGGGATTTTCCTGTCCTTTCTGTCCCTTCGAAATACTTTGTCGTCTGCCCACTGTATCCCATCCCGGTAGCACCCTCGACTTTTGAAGCGAGGCATTTCTCGCCTGACAGCTCTGTCTCCCCCCCAAAGTGCCTCTGCTTGGCTCCCACCTACGAGCTGGCCCTGCAGATTGGGTGCGTGATCGAGACCATCGGCCGGTTTTGCGCTGACATCAAGGTGACGTATGCTGTCCGGGGAAACCGAGGTGAGTCCGGTCCTGCCGAGCACAGCTACCGGCACTGTTAACGGGAGCATTGAGTGAGTAGAGGGATCCTCCTTTAGCGCCTTGAGCTACCGGGAGCCGTGCAGACCTCTGCGAAGGCACGTAAAATAGTGTCTATGTTCCCCCGCCCGCTAAGGAGTCTTTTTTACAACCACTGGCTGCTTCCAGACTCCTCCGTAGGCCGTAGGGAAGTGTCAGCCCTGCTTACAATTTAAATCTCAAGCTCCGCTTTGCACTGACCCCCCTCAAAGGCCTGAATCTGAGACAACCGAGGGGAAAAACGCGCTCAAGCGGTGAAAAACGCCTCGTGTTTGGAGGCGGTTGGATGCCATTTCCCTTCTCTGGCAGTTGGCGCCGGGCTGGAGGAGCAGATCGTCATCGGGACTCCGGGCACAATGCTGGACTGGTGTTTCAAACGGAGAGTCGTAGACGTGAAGAAGATCAACATGTTCGTGCTGGATGAAGCCGACATCATGATCGACACTCAGGGCCTCTCCTACCAAAGCATTCGCATTCAGAGGTGAGTATTCCTGATGGCTGGCATCCCTGCTTTTGCCCCGCTCTTTGCTCAGCTTTGAGGGAATCGGCAGCAAAAGAGAGCTCGTCCCTGTGATGTCGAAGGGGCGTCCGGGGAAATGTGAGTCCAGGGATGTGGTTTTCTGTAAAACAGCGTCCGTGCAACGTACGGGAGGATTTTTATTTCGCTTCCCTTTCCTTTGAGCCATTACGACCCTTGGGTCAGGTTCCCTTTCTGTCGAAAGCGACACAAAATCAGCTTAAATTAGCTTTTTTTTCCCTTTCTAATGAGTACATCAGGGCACCAGGCTGCTCTCCTGGGCTAACAAGTCATTTGTTTCTTTTTTTTCCCCCTCCGCTCCAGGGCTTTACCCAAGGGCTGCCAGATGCTGCTGTTCTCGGCCACCTTCAAGGAAACCGTGCGGGCATTCGCCATGCAAATCGTCTCCAACCCCATCGTCATCAAGCTGCGCGAGGAAGAGCTCACGCTCAGCAACATCAGGCAGTACTTCTTCGTCTGCAGGAGCAGGGAGGAGAAGTACAGAGCCCTCTGCAACATCTACGGCAGCATCACCATTGGCCAGGCTATGATCTTCTGCCAGGTAAAGCAGCTCAGCCTGCCCAGGGAGGTTTTTGCAGTCGGCGATAACAGAAATGGTTTATTTGCCAGCCTGGATGTGGCAGGGGGGCTCCTCCTAACACCCTCAAAATTGAGGAGCGGAGCCTCAGGAGGGGCGGGGAACGTGTCGCCAGCATTTCAAGGCAGCCTTTAAAAGCGGCGTTTTAACAGCATCTCCCTTTGCCCGGCTTCCGCAGTCCCCAGCACAGAGAAAACGCTGCGTTCCCTTGCCCTCTGCGCCGCGTGTCCTGGTGGGGGCTTCTTGCTCGTCCGCATCATTTTTGTTTTATTTTGAGGCGTTAAAAAGGCGCCGGGAGCTCCCGGAACAGGGGACTTGGGAATGAGGGGGGAAAATATCGGTGAGGGCTTGGCCAGGAGCGACAGCAGAGCTGCGGTGAAACCTCAGCTCGCCTCTCCCCGTGCGTCCAGACTCGGCGGAGCGCAGACTGGCTGTCGGTGGAGATGAGCCAGGACGGGCACCGGGTGGCCATCCTGACAGCGGAGCTGACAGTGGCCCAGCGGGCCGATGTCATCCAGCGCTTTCGCGATGGCAAGGAGAAGGTCCTCATCGCCACCAACGTCTGCGCCAGAGGTACCTCCCAAAAAACCAGCACCCCTTGCCTTCCCAACGGCTTTTCCTGGCCTCTGGTCCTTCTGCTGGCAACACAGGCTCCGGCAAGGGATTCTCCGTGACCTCTGGGGCCGGCTGATCCCTTTCCATCGCCCTTCTCTCGCTTTTATTTTCCAGGGATCGATGTGCAGCAGGTCACCATCGTGGTGAACTTCAGCCTCCCCACCGATCAGAACCACGAGCCGGATTTCGAGACCTACCTCCACCGCATCGGGCGAACGGGACGCTTCGGGAAGAAAGGCATCGCCTTCAGCATGGTGGAAAGCCAGAGCGTGGGGCTCGTGCAGATGATAGAGGAGCATTTCCGTGAGTATCCGCGCATAGCC